TATGGCAAAGAACATACAATACAAGCCTTTTGGCTTCTTAAAAAAAAATCCCCGAAGAGTTTGCAGATTAATTTAAAAAACAGAACATTTTGTCCATTAAACAATCCTTTTGAATTCCCCCCCAACTGACACATAAATAAAACATATTATATCATAGTTTTTGATGATTTTTTATGACATTCTATAATATGACGCTTCATGATTTATTTTATGTCATACTATACTATTACTTTTATGAAATACTATGTCTTTTAATCACTTTATATGACATACGTATGACTTTCTTTCTTTTTAACATCAAAATCTCAATTTCAAAAAGTGATCCAACTGACAAACTAAACTTCTGTTTATTGACAAAAGCAATTGTTTTGATTTAATTTGTCATTAAAAGAAAGTCGAGACACAATCATCACAGACAGGAAATCTCAAACAAATTCTGGCATTCAAACTTGACTGCAGACAACATTTTATAACTGTTTTGAAAAGGATACCATACTATGATTATTAGTAGTTTATTATTTTTAAGACTTTTTATGACAATTTTTCACCATGCTATGGTCTTTTTTATGACATACTGTACTATGACTTTTGTATGACTTGTTTCGACATACTGTAGTAATATGACGCTTTTCAACATGCTATACGATGACTTTTTTCGACATACTTTATGACTTTTTTCAACATACTATATACTATGACTATTTTTTATAAATTCTTTTCAACATGCTATATTATGACTTTTTATGTTTTTTTCAACATACTATACTGATTTTTTTTATTTTCTTCGACATACTATATTACGACTCTTTTCAACATACTCATCATACTTTTTCATACTATGACTGTTTTAGGACTTTTGTCGACATGCTATACTTTTTATAACATTTTTTTTTACATATTATAATATGCCTTTTTTGTGTACTATACCAGGGGTCGGCAACCTGCGGCTCCTCACTCCCTCTGTTGCGGCTCCCTGAGTCCACATCCACACTAATACGTTTTCGTTTTAAACGATCTCTGTCCACACGGCGTTTCAGCATCGTTTTCTAAATGATCTCCGTCCACACTTAAACGCCTGAAATCGAATATCACGTGACTATTCACGTACACTGGGCATGCGGGTGGGTGCCGGTGTAAACAGGAAGTAGATTGGTTGCTCAAAGCCGCTAATGTGACTTCAGACGGCCGCTCCGTAGGTCTGCTAACGCCGCTGGACACGCTGCTCGCTAATCGCTCCAATAACAGCTGCTAGTAAAGACAACAAGGTCAGTAATACCTGACCTTAAATAAAAATGTTTTAATATTTTGTCAACTAAAATGTGCATCACATCCTATTACACCTGTCAAGCGCCTTTCCCTGCAGGTGGCTCATCATGATTTGCAGACCCCCGCCCTCGGTAAACTATCAATGGATAAATCCAAAAAAAGAAAAGTCACGGAGGAAAATAGAGAGTTTAACTCTGCGTGGACGTCTTCATTTGCTTTCACTGCCAACGATGCTGACTTACCTGTATGCTTCCAGAACAAGCACACAGCATTTGCTGAAAAGTATCACGCTGGAGATGAGCGAAAAAGAGCGATTTCTCAACTGCTGCAGCAAACTGAGCACGTTTTTTTCTCCTCTTCATAAGAGTTTGATATTGTTATTACAGGTAAAATTGCAATACAATGTCAAGAATTGTCTTTATTCTTGTTCTATAATTTTATAAATATAACAAACTATAGTTTTTGTATATATAATATAACTATATATAAAACTTTATAAGCTGTGATATCAAATACCCTTTACGGCTCCAGACTAATTTTATTTCTTCGACATTCTATACCAAGACTTTTTTATCTTTATGGCTTTTTAATTACTTTTTTCGAAATACTATACTATGACTTTTTTTCAATTCTCATGAGTTATTTCTGACGTGCTATAATATGACCCTTTTTCAACATACAATATGATTTTTTTCATGACTTTTTAGGCACGCTATTGTAACATAGTTGAAAAGGTTCAGGTTAAATCCCGCTAAATGGGAAAGCTATGCCACCTGTTGTTGTAAATTTGTGCCTGCACTCAATAGTAGACGCAAAGGATTATGGGTAATCCTCAAAGCAACGGCGGATTCGCTACTAGACAGAGCATGCGCTGTTGTCCACAAGAGATGACCATTCTACTATGTTGCCCTTTGTCATAAATGCAGATGTGGAATAAACCTGCTGTTACCACAAGCCTGACCAGCTCCATGAGATTCATTTAGCCAGGAGACATCTCACAGAAGTTACATTATGCAACACTCAGAGCCACACATACACACATCTGTGTGTAAGGAGATATAAACTATGGTGACATTTTTGAAGTAACGATGTCCTGTGGCGTTTTCTTGTTAACAAACTTAAGTTGTCTTAACATTCATCTGAAGGCGTTGTGTGAGGTGTAACGTGATGTAAAACATTTGCCATGTTTTCCTGATATTTACTTAAGGTCATCGTACTTCTCACATCTTAATTATCTTGAAATCGTATTATTGTGTTTTAGCATGCATGTGTATTGATTTCTGGGTGTGGTCGGCTCAATACTCTGCTCTTGTTGAACACGTAGCTTTTTGATCAGCTCATCAGAATTAGTCCTGCATTTATTCATACAGATTTAGGACACACTGTTTAGTCTTGGCGTCGTCTGTAACACTGGATCAAGCTCCGTTAATAAATATCTGTTCAGAGTTAGAATAAGGAAATACTACCCCCCCCCCC